TATACAAGTTATGAATATTCACTTGAGTATTTCTAATTATGAATCTTAGCAAGTTAACTGTAAGGCTAATTAACCTGGAGTTTCTTTGGGATATTTTTAATGGGTTTTAGAAAAGTGTTTTTTGATTGAAATAAGGTCTGTGGTTCAGATTACTTGAAGAGGCTTTGATGTTTCGTTCAGCAACATGCATTATTTATAGGCATACCTCATATGTGAAGTTGCTTAAAGTTGTCTACACAACTAGAGATACTAATCTTGCTCTAAAAACTTACCTGGTGCCATGGACAGTTTGCCTTTGCCCTCTAGAATAATTTTCCCATTAAAGTCCACAGCGGGAAGCATGCCTTGCTGAAAGAAAAACACATTCTCTTCCTTCAGGCCGAAGTATTTGTGTTGCATGAAAAAATCTTTGGTCATGTCCATTGTTCTGCCACTTGTCATAATGTACCTGATGAATCAAAACATTGATCATGTCATTGCAAGACCAATCTCTTGACAGAATCTTAGCTTAAAGTGTAAGTCTAATGTTTTTGAAAGGAGTCTTGCTCACCAAGGCTGCATTTATTTGATCTATTTTAATATTTTAAAATGTAATTTACTCCTGTGATCTGAATTTCCAACAGCCATTACTCCAGTCTTAAGTGTCACATGATCAGAAATCATTCTAATATGCTGATATAATAATTTCTTAACATTATCACAGCTGAAAACAGTTATGCTGCTTAATACAAATTTTGTGGAAACCATGATACATAATTTTTCTGGATGCTTTCATAAAGTTCAAAAGAACAGCATTTATTTGAAATAGAATTTTGTAAATAAGTTTCTACTGTCACTTTTGTTCAACTTAATGCATTATTTTTTTTCTAAAAAAACATATCTGTGGTAAATTACTTTAAAAAAATGATGGCATTAGCATGTTTTTTCTGGATGCTAAAATGATGGTAAAATTATGGTGTTCTTTAAAGTATATTGTCATATGACTATGGCGATCATACATGGATACAGTTATTATCTGTCTTTAAATAATGAGCTATGATTAGAGCTGATCATTAGGGCATCATGTGTCATGCGTCAAAGGTCAATTCTGCTGGGCAGAGATTGGCTCTAAAATTCTTTTTCTCTTGAGGTCTGACCTAGTTCCTCAGGATGACATGCTGGTTATGTCAACCTGATTTCACACTGACTAAACCATGTAATGACATTCATAGCGAGGAGGTCACTTGCATTACGGTAAGTGGGGAGAAACTTCCTTAAGATCAAAACAAGTCTGGTAATCCAAGTAATTAGATTGAACAATCATTGACAAACTACTTCCTTGGGAATTTGGAAATGGTTGTCTATGGCTTCAAATGTAAGTGCACTGTAACAGAATACATTTGAATTGTGCTTAATGCTCATCTTACCATGGAATACAGCACTTCCTTGAGTGCCGTTTTTCAGCGAGCTGTTCCAGTCTTCTGATGCGTTCCGCCTGGATCTGAAAGAGGGTTTTGTGAGAGGGGAGGCATACGTCATACATGCCTTTTGGATATGATACACCCAGCCGTGTCCCTTGCCCTCCAGCCAATAGAAGAACCGCCACTTTGTTCTCTGATATACAGCGAAGGCCTGTGTGGAATGATGGGAGGATATGTCACTTTAGCAAACAGGTGTTAATACTATGTCATACAATTCAAGGAAAAAACAAACATAGGTCATTGCTCCCATTACACGAGTCCTTAAAGTGAAACATGCTACATTAATGTACAAATAAAAATCAACTATGGTGAGAGAAGAGACGGATGCTGTTGGTATAAAACGTCTGGATTCTTAAGCAACAGTTTGTGTTTAATTATTTGCAGATAACAAGGGCGATTATCATCGACTTTTATGAGGCCTGATTTATCTAACATAAATTACTGTTATGCTAGATGTTACATCACCCACACACAGCCTTGAATATGCTAAAATATGACTTGTGCGATTTAAAAATGAATTATTAAAAAAAAAAAATTGAATTAAATTAATTAAAAAAAAATAAATGAACTGAACAAAGATGACACATAAAAGTAACTGGGTATCATAGGAATGTGGTCTGATTAAAGATGATGTGATGCTGAATGAGCTCAACATGACATCAGCAAAGCAATTACTGGTACGTCAAATCTAACCAGAACCAGATGTTTTCATTCCGTTTTGACGCATCCTCCCCCAAAAATGGAGTACTGGGACAAAAAATGTTTATTCAAATTTGAAACCTATTGTTATTTCAATAACCAAGTGCCTTTTTAGACAGACTCTGCGCAGAAATCCTAAGCTGTTGATTTCTTTTGTCTTGGGGGTCATGATTTGTCGAAGAATGGTTCTCTGGGGTGCATTTGGGTGGAGAAGACATTGCATCACTCATTATGTTTTGTTGTGCAATATTTCTTTGACACATAAAAGTAACTGGGTATCATAGTAATGTGGTCTGATTAAAGATGATGTGATGCTGAATGAGCTCAACATGACATCAGCAAAGCAATTACCGGTACGTCAAATCTAACCAGAACCAGATGTTTTCATTCCGTTTTGACGCATCCTCCCCCAAAAATGGAGTACTGGGACAAAAAATGTTTATTCAAATTTGAAACCTATTGTTATTTCAATAACCAAGTGCCTTTTTAGACAGACTCTGCGCAGAAATCCTAAGCTGTTGATTTCTTTTGTCTTGGGGGTCATGATTTGTCGAAGAATGGTTCTCTGGGGTGCATTTGGGTGGAGAAGACATTGCATCACTCATTATGTTTTGTTGTGCAATATTTCTTAGCAACATTTTTTTTCTGCTTAACAAAGACTTAAAAGAATTACTATATCACATTTAGGTTATAATATTAAACTAAACATAAGCTGTTAAGCTTTTGCAGTTGTTTAAAACAGCCTTTTATATAAATTCCTCTGCCTGTCCGCTTGGTCAGACTCTGAAACCAACTGGCTGACCAGCTAAACTCCAGCTTGGTATGGCACTTAACGCAGAATAATGCGCGAGATGGACCAGGAGTGCTGTGAAACATTAAAATATCTGAACTCACCCTCTTCTTCCCATTCTTTGAGACGTTCACGATCGCGTGTTACGCTTCCCAAAACTTCTCGGGGCACCCGCTCCATTCTGGTGTCCACCTTCTCCTGTGAGTTCTGCCCAGACGTCTTCATGGCAGTTTTAAAGAAGTTATTGATCTCCATGAAGTTCAGGCTCTCCAAATCAACACTCATTTCAGCTTGTTCCTCAGGTCTTAGCTGGTCCCAATATTGGAGAACATGAGACTGCCCGGCTTCAGCAAGTCTCTCAGCCAGTTTGCTGGTGTCCATGGTCTTTCCTTTAGATCTGGATCAGTCAGTGATGGAACAGAGGCGGAAGCAAAGTGACACTGATTATCTAAGAGTCTCACAAACAGATCTAACTGTCTTATCCCCACCCATAAATTGATAACTACTCTGTGTACGTGCTCAGTCGAATAAACACGAGGTTGGCTAAATATAAGGTCAGGTGTGATCTTTACCTCTCCTCAAAGATCAATATAATTTTTGATTGGCTGGAAGACAATATAGACCATTTCTGATCAGTTGAAAGCCTACTGGACAGTAATCAAGTTTGCTAAAAGTCTGACACTCTTCCCCCCCCCCCATTCCT